CTCTCTATTTTTTACCTGATGGTTTTAATGTTGGAGCTTTAAGAGAGGTATATTCTGTGAAGAATAAGTATTTTAGCACAATAGTAAATAACTTTTGAAGAAGGAACCTAACAAGACATTCTATATTCATTGTACGTTTGGAATTCATCGATTTTATTTGAACTACGATCTGCAAAAGATTATTATTTTTATGCCAGTTTTATGATGCGGTTGATTGTATCTAAAGCAATTCGACTAAAACAATTTGTTTTCTTTCAGCAACTGAATGGGTGAAAGGGAAACAAATGGAGGAAGTATTGAACATCAAGAATACGTAAGTTTGTTAACTTTTAATTTGGTTTAATGCCTCATCTTTGAAGTATCTCCTTCGGTTCATATTCAGTGACATGAAACCTTCATTGGATCGTTTTGATTGCTTTTAGTTCACATTTCTTTAAGGCACATTTGCAACATCGGACGTTCTTTGTGGTAATGTTAGTGGACCTTGATCCTTGCCGTTAGAAATTATCACTTTCAAGTGTTCTGTTTATGGCACTTGAGATGTCTTTCGGAATTTTTTTCAACCTGCTTTGCCTTGCCATCAGAATTCTTTATATAATCTAGAGCCCACAACACGAAGATACGTATTGTTTATATTCTCTGTTTATTGCTGGCTTGGAATACTTGAGCTAGGAGTGAATTTGTAGAATGCTTTAGAGTTAAAAAAAATTAAGAATCAATCAATTAATAAAACTCAATGGCTGGATGAGCATTCACCTTTGGGTGTTTTGAGAGAACTCTCCATTTATCACAGTTGGTATATTAGCAAGCATGACAGCTTATAAAGATTCCAGTAGATGTGGGTTATTAACATTTGATTCAGTTGGTGAGTTGCTGAAGTACTGTGTAAACCCTTTCTGTTGAAGTTATTTCCTTTTCGCACGCATGTAATGATTTGCCTCCCCGTGATGATGTTATCCTTCGTTAGATTTCATACAGTTATCCACCAATTATTTTTGTGAATTTGGGTTGCCATTCCTTACTAGATTTGTCCATTCATTTGTCTGTCGATCAATTATAAAATGTTTACCTTGATGGCATTTTATGCAGGGAAATAGCAAAACATCTGTCTCTTCCACCCGTAAAACTCCATTGCAGCATGCTCGCTGAGGACGCAATAAAGGCAGCTGTGAAAGATTACGAGGCCAAGCGCTCAAAAGCGAATGGGAAACACTGAGTCCGCGACTAAGAAGGAAGTTTGCCAGTGCATGATGTACATGCACGAAATTTCATTTTATCTATTACACCTATCGTATCACAATAATGGATCGTAATTAAAATCACCTTCAAAATGTGTGTACTTTTCATTTGCCCCTTCTCCCTCCTAGTTTCTGTATGTATATTTTCTGGATGATGTGTGTTATATTTCTGGTAAGTTTAGTGCTCGGGAAAATGAGTGTTGTGCTCTATTTGTGCCAAAATTTGGAGAATCTGGTGACAATTTTCCAAAGCCGACACACTATGACATTGAGAGAAAAGGTGGTCGGAACGATTACTTGTGCTCAACTTAAATTTGGCACTCGTATTCTGTGTGTACTTTCTGCGAAAAACTATCGAGGAGGGGAGGATGACTTCAAACAAGGTAACGATTATAATAAATAACTTTAAATTTGAAGTTATGCGACGAAGAATATGAGGGTTTCTTCGAACAAGGGAATGGTAATGGTAATGGTAAATGCGAATAACTTCTAATAATAAATATTATTGAAGTTAATGAAATGAAGCACTTTTCACGTCGATAAACTGCATTATGGTGATTGATGACTAAAATAATTTCCTCCTGACCTTTAGATGTGCAATATTGACTTTTATTATCCAATTGTATTGGTTTATCTGCTATCATAACATACAAATCAAGGATACAGAGCCATTTTCTAAATCAAAATCTACGTGTCTAGAGGTGAAGAATTTGATATTGACCTCTACCTTATCTATCGATCGAAATACTAGTACAATGGAATAGTCATCGTTTGTTAGATTTTCATTCAATTAATTTTGTGAATCTTGATTGTGAAGTACTTGTCTGTGAAGTAATTTTATTCTAGGTTTTGCTTGATGTTATTCTAGAAGTTAGTTTATACACCTTGACAATTTCTTGTGCAAGTGTTTTACTTGTATTTCTAGTTTGATAAGATTTAGGTTTAGTGGACGAGAAATGTCCAATTTTACGGCGGTGTATATTTACTTGGAAAAACCTGAAGAAACAGGATCAATGACGGTATCTTTTTCAGGGACTGACTTGACCGTTTTTGATTGATAATTTTTTGTTTAATTTATTTTAACTGTCAATGAAAATTTGCCAAGTATTTGTCCGTCAAAAATCCTGTCATTGAGCCTATTTTTCTGAACTGTATTTACTTGACATAATAAAGGACGTGTACCATTTCAGAAGAACGTCGGTAAGGTTGGAATTTTGACTTTCTTTGACCTTAACTCTCCATCCTTTGACCATTTGTTTGACCTCAATGGAATAGTTAATTAATGATAACTACTCTTCTTTATTGTAAGACCATAACTATTAATTACTAACTTAAGAATTCTATGAATATCTTTTTTTAAAGATTTTCTTAACCAATTTTAGATTTTCTTGATCAATTTTAGATTTTTTATTGATTTACTTTTTCCAATTATTACATAAGCATATTTTGCTCTCCTTTCCTGGAAACAGATAATAATTATCATTAATTTTTTGTTTTCAGATTATTGATTTAATTTATTAAAATTTTATTTCTCAAAATGACGTGAACTTATTGTTGAAAAATTGACAATGGACGTAGTTTAGTTCGATCCGATTTCAAAAGGAATCATCGAATCGTGTTCCATTGGAATCTTAGAAATAGAACCTAGATATGAAATCAAATCGGGATTGAACCACCGGTACTAGTTTGATTCAATCCGGTTCGGTTTCTTTTTATTAAAAAATTATGAAAATGGAGTATTAAACCACTTGTTGATCGAAAGATTGAACTTTTTTCTATTAGGGTTTGCATTGAAACTATAGATTTGTAAAGTATTATTTCAAAAGTCAGTTCCGAAACTTATTCTCAAGCATCAACACCGAAGAGCTTCAATGCCTTTACTTGAATCTAATTTAGGGATGTCGATGTTCATAACAATTTGAATTTTCATTACCAATTAGGGTCCATCAAAATTTGCAAAAAAGAAAAGAAGCAGAATATAAAAAGGGACATTTTAGCATGCGATACTTTTGGCATTTAATGTTAACATATATGGTAAATCTTCGTGTAATGCATCAACAAAAAGAGAAATTTGGGAAATTGAATTCAGTCCTGATTCTCAAGGTAGCATCGAGAACCGAATTCAAATCCTTGGGTTCTCGCTGCATGGTCTCACAGTCGACTCATTTAGTAAAGAAATCGTGATGAATTGGCTAATCTTATCCGATTCCGGAAAAAAAAATGCCAATTTCTAAATTTAAATATACAACTAATTTGTCACGTCTAAAAAGAGAAATTAAGAGAAAATTCATCAAAAAAAAGCATCGAAGTTTGTGTCGATAAAAATAATTACGTATTTATGTCTATAAGCAAATTTTAACCTTATGGCTCGAGACAAATAATAATAATAATAATAATAAATGAAAAACATTAATGATGTTGACTCTCAAATAAGTTAATTTCAAAGTACTTTTCAAAATAAGTAACTTTTAAGGAGAGTGCTTAAATAAAATAATAAGTTACTAAAATTATAATGTGATAGAAATGAGTGGTAGATTAGTGAGTACTAATTGTGGGTTTAAAATCAATATCAAGTAAATTATAAGTTACTTTTAATGTTATCTAAACATATGCAAAATTTCCACGTACTTTTACTAAAAAATACTTTTTAACCTATTTTAAGTTGGGTCAAACTTTAAAATCTAACAAAATTAAGCTCATATTTTGCTTCAATTTTTTAAAACTCGTTTTCAATAATACATTTCATGATATTCAGAACTTTTTATCAAAATTTACTAAAAAATCTATTTTTCAGTTAAACGAAACATGAGCGGAGAAAATGTAAAGAAAAGTTCTGTTTATTATCCAATTTAACTCAACTCAAAATTCATAGTTATTACCAATATTTTCATTTTTACCTATTCTAATATTATTGTTGTCCACTAGATCTAAGTACTACCAAACAACAAAAATTGATTCAAGTGGTAGCATGATATATAAGCCTCTATTTGGAAACCATGCTTCGACATTTTTAAAGAGCTATTATCAAGGTAATTGTTCATGAAAGTAATCGATAACTCGAAACAAACCAATTTTGCTTGATCTCGACTCCGAGATGCCAAGTGATTATGCGAAGCCACTGATGCGGTCGAACATCCGAGTTGAACCCTTTTTCATAAGTTATTGTTCAAGAGCTCTTAATTATTTGAACTTCGAAACATAAAAAAGTAATGGGGTTGCAATTGTTTATATCTAAAAAAAAAAATTTATCGAAATTAATTCATTATGGTTGCTATAATTATGCAAAAAAAAAAAAAAATTACAATTTGTTTGACATTAGAATAACACTTAGAATCCATTTGACAAATTGATAAATCGTTTCTAAAAAAGAAAATAGTAGTTAATCACATAAAATTTTTGAATAATAAATGAGTAATATTTATGAATGTATAGTTGAATTAATAAATTGTTAATAAATTGGTTGCCAAACATAGTCATAAAAAATATACGTACTCGTTTTTAAGATATTTCAATTTTAGCAATTTATAATAAATTTTGTGAAAAACTGATATTCTTTAAGAATGTGTACTTAAAAGGTAAGAAAAAGTTACAATTTCAAGTATAAATTATTTTATTAAGAAAATGTGTAATTGAAAATAAGCACGAAGGAAAATGAATTTTAAAGAAGTATAAAAATGGGCTCAATTCATCTCCTTTCTCTAATTATGGCATAAGCACATTTTGCCCTCTTTTCAATAGAATAAAAATATTAATTACTAATATTTTTTTTCTATTTTCAAATTGTTGATATAAAAATGTATTGTGGAAAATCGTGGTGTAGATTATAGACAGTGACAATGCTTTAATATGCAGTTATTTGGCACACCTAAAAAGAGAAATTAACTAATTTTGAAGGATTCATCAAATATAAATCAAAGATTGTATAGATTTTTAAGAATGATTTAAGCATTTATGTCTGTCTATAAGCAAATTCAAACAATGATGTTTTGACAGTTTAAAAGTAGCAAAATGGTCTACCGTACTTTCAAAAAAGTTATTTTTAGGATTTCGTATAGTACTTCTTAACAAGTTGCTTTTTAAGTTGTTCATATACTTTCGTCGATCACTATTTTTGAGTATTTTAAGTTTGGCAAAAAATTCATCAAGAAAAATAAAGAAAAGTTATATTTATCATTCAACCCTAGTTTGGTGTAGATTAATTTCGAGTTAAAGTCGACAATGAATTTTAATCACACATTTAATGAGATTCATAACTTTTCAATTATATATTTCATCAACTTTTATCAAAATTTATTAAAAATTCAATTTTAATATACACCAAATGTTTACTCAAAACTCAGCTATTACCAATATTCTCATTGGCACCATACCTAATTACCAACAAACAATAAAACCCGATATAAATGGTTGCATGAAAATATTTGAGTTAAGTTTAATCAAGATATAATAATAAATAACCTTTAATAATTTTAGAAATAATTAGATAATATAACATTTTCGAAGAGATGTTGATTGAGGTAAATGTTCGTGACAATAATCAATAACTCGAAAAAAAAAACAATTTAATTGGCCAATGGCCTCAATCTCAAGATGACAAATGATTGTAAAACGCTACTATGTGGTCGAATATTGAGTTTAACATGTTTCCAATGAATTATGGTTCAAAATCTCTTAATTATTTGAGTTCCTAGCTCGACAAATCATATTAAATAGTTGAGTTACCAATATACTTGTATCACGTATATACTTTACAAACAATTATACTGGACATTTTTTACAATTTCCACTTGTTGTTTATATCTAAAAAAAAAAATGTATTGAAATTAATTCATTATGGATGCTATAATTATGCAAAAAAAAAAAAAATTGCAATTTGTTTGACATTAGAATAACACTTAGAATCCATTTGACAAATTGATAAATCGTTTCTAAAAAAAAAAAATAGTAGTTAATCACATAAATTTTTTGAATAATAAATGAGTAATATTTATGAATGTATAGTTGAATTAATGTTTGATTTTGATTGAATTAATAAATTGGTTGCCAAATATAGAGTTATAAAAAATATATATGAATAAATTTTACGTACTCGTTTTTAAAATTTTCAATTTTAGCAATTCAGGGCATGTTTGACATAGTTTTTTTATAATAAATTTTGTGAAAAACTGATATTCTTTAAGAATGTGTATTTAAAAAGTAAGAAAAAGTTACAATTTCAAGTATAAATTATTTTATTAAGAGAACGAGCACATTTTGCCCTCTTTTCAAAAGAATAAAAATATTAATTATTAATATTTTTTTTTTTCTATTTTCAAATTGTTGATATAAAAATGTTTTGTGGAAAATCGTGGTGTAGATTATAGACAGTGACAATGCTTTAAATATGCAGTTATTTGGCACGCCTAAAAAGAGAAATTAACTAATTTTGAAGGATTCATCAAATATAAATCAAAGATTGTAATTTGTATAGATTTTTAAGAATGATAAAGCATTTATGTCTATAAGCAAATTCAAACAATGATGTTTTGACAGTTTAAAAGTAGCAAAATGGTCTACCGTACTTTCAAAAAAGTCATTTTTAGGATTTCGTATAGTACTTCTTAAAAAGTTGCTTTTTAAATTGTTCATATTCTTTCATCGATCACTATTTTTGAGTAGTTTAAGTTTGGCAAAAAATTCATCAAGAAAAATAAAGAAAAGTTATATTTATCATTCAATCCTGGTTTGGTGTAGAATAATTTCGAGTTAAAGTCAACAATGAATTTTAATCACATGTTTAATGAGATTCATAACTTTTCAATTATATATTTCATCAACTTTTATCAAGATTTATTAAAAATTCAATTTTAATATACACCAAATGTTTACTCAAAAATCAGCTATTACCAATATTCTCATTGGCACCACACCTAATTACCAACAAACAATAAAAACCGATATAAATGGTTGCATGAAAATATTTGAGTTAAGTTTAATCAAGATATAATAATAAATAAATTTTAATAATTTTAGAAATAATTAGATAATATAACGTTTTAACATTTTCGAAGAGATGTTGATTGAGCTAAATGTTCGTGACAATAATCAATAACTCGAAAAAAAACAGTTTAATTGGCCAATGGCCTCAATCTCAAGATGACAAATGATTGTAAAACGCTACTATGTGGTCGAATATTGAGTTTAACATGTTTCCAATGAATTATGATTCAAAATCTCTTAATTATTTGAGTTCCTAGCTCGACAAATCATATTAAATAGTTGAGTTACCAAGATACTTGTATCAAGTATATACTTTACAAACAATTATACAAAAAGGTCTTTTGAAGTATATCTTGTTTAATAGCTAGTTTGCTAAAAGATGTCCACACGCTAGATTCTCTCTACTTATGCCCTCCGTTAATAAGAAACTAGCGATTACATTAACCCAAAGAAGAAGACCTACATGTATGTCTTCTTTTGCATCAATTGCATCAACTTCTTGCTCCAAGTGCTCTCCATACATAGGAACAAATTCATGATACGTAACAAATTATTGAACACATCAGGTGTATACTTTACAATATTTACACGAAAAAGTATCCAAAGGAATTTTAAACCATTAATGGTTAGTGTGCTAAAACACATTTGTATCCTAGATTCTCTCCACAAATGTAGCAATGAAATAATGTTTGGTGCCTACGTTTATAACAAACAATCGAACACATCACCATGAAAAGATACCTACATATACGCTCTATTTTGCAGCAACTTATTATTCCAACTTTAAAGTACATAAAACATATACTATTGTCCACTTATTTTCCTTGTCTACATAATAGCTTAATCGTCTATTGAAAAATTAAGTACAAGTCCTCACTTTTTTTAGTTATTGAAGACGATTAAAGTTGATCAGTTGAGAATCGAAATTTCAAATTTTATCATTTGCAATTTCGTTTTGACTTACCACTCACGACTATTGAAAGATTTAAAATCAAGTTTTTCTTAATAAGCTACTTTTCAATAAAAAAGGTACTTATTTTAAGAATAAAATTGTTGATGATATAGGCACGACCACTGCACCAAAGTACGTGTCTTACCATCACAAACTCACATAACAAGAGGACTCTCTCCAACCTCAGTCATTAAGAACAGTTTCCTTCTGGACAGAGAAATAGAGAAAAGAAGGTATCTTTCTTGCCTCGAACTTAACTTTTTTTGGGATAAAATGGAAAATAATCTTCACTTTTCTGTGTCAATTTCACTGTTTTTCAATTCCAATTCTGAATTGATCACTTTTTTTTCTCTGTTGTTATCATCTTATAGCAGATCGCTAGCTCTCAAACATTTGTTGTACTCAGCAAAAGTGGAGACACTGTAATTTCTTCTTCAGGTAATTAATTGTTCTTTATTCTCTTTTTTCCAGTTTTCTGGCTTCCTGACAGTAAAATGTACGTTTTGTTTTGGGTTGATTTTCATTTCAATTTCTTTTATATCTATCTTTTGAACATTGAGATTTTTTTTTTAATCATTAATTCTCTTTTGTACAGTTTTTTGGCTTTCTGATAGTGAAATGTATGTGGGGGGTTTTTTTTTTCTTTTTTCTTTTTTCTTTTTTTTGTAGGTGAGTTGGGGAGTGGGGGGTTCAATTTCATTTTATAGATGTTAGCTTTTAAGTTTGTGAATTTTGTTTGTTGTAGTTAATTCTCCCTTTTAGTGGCTTTCTGATAGTAAAATGTATGTGGTTTTTTTTTAGGAGGGGGGTTGATTTTCTTTTTCGATTTTTTTATATATATGTTAGCCTTTTAAGTTTGTGATTTATTTATTTATTTATTTGTTGTCATTAATTCTCTTTTTCACTGTTTTTTTTTTTTTGGCTTTATGATAATAAAATGTACGCGGGGTTTATTTTTTTTCGATTTCTTTATATATATATGTTAGCTTTTTAAGTTTCGAATTTTGTTTGTTGTTATGAATCCTCTTTTTTTCGGTTTTTTTTGCTTTCTGATAGTACAATGTAATTTTTTCTTTGATCTTTTTTTTCCTCTTTTTTTTTTTTAAATAATGTTGGCTTTTTATGTTCGTAAATTTTGTTTGTTGTTTTTGTGATTTTTGACAGGAATTTTTTTACCATGAGTGGAAAAAATAAAGAAATGTTTGACCTGAATTTTTCTGTTTCTTACAGCTTTGGAAATGTCTGAGATTTGATATTTTGAGAAAAAATTGAGGATCTTTTGGGTACATTTGATGAAATGGAAAATCAGAAAGTCTCTGGACTCTTAAAAGAGGGTTTTATGGTGACGAAACCCAGGGAGTGCAAGGGTGTTATTGGGAATAATCTGGGAAGAGAAGGCTTGTTGGATTCTGTAACGATCTGTAACGAATTTAACGATACTCGTACGTTAATTTTGGAAGGAAACTTAGAGATTGGCCAGAAAAATGAGGTTTGTATAGAGAATGTTGTTAGCAGGGAGGCTGTGGATCAAGGCGATGACATGTTGCGGTTGCACAAGTCTCATTTGCCGACAAAGACTGGAGTTTCTGATAAAGGTATTAATTTATTTGTGCAACTTTTGTGTTCCCAAGATGGAAATTATAAAGGCCACAACAATGTGAACAACTCGGGGGAACACGTGGTGAGAGATTACTTATTGGATCAAGATGTTGAAAATGCGAGTGCGAAGATTGAAGGAGACAATGTTGGAAAGCAAGAACACAAGTTCGGTATGGGCGATATGGTATGGGTTAAAACTCCAAATCAGTTATGGTGGCCAGGGATGATACGTGATCCTTCAATTGCTGCAAAGAATACAGAACAATATGAAGGAACTGGCAATTTCTTGGTTAAATATTTTGGCAATGTTAATTCTCTTTGGTGCTCCTGTTCTAGCTTGAAGCCTTTTCTTGAGTACTTTGATCAGATGTCAAAGCAAAACAACTCAAGTATCTTTCTTGGTTCGATAGAGAAGGCTTTAAGTGAGATTGGACGGCGTGTAAAGACAGAGATGACTTGTCCATGCTTCTTGAAGGAAAGTCAAAAACTTGACACACAATCTTCGGCCGAATCTCGGGATGTGAATTCAATGTCAGAGGAGGATAAAATGGGGAATACTGATGCCCTTTCATTGTCACAGTTCGAACCCTCAAGTTTTCTTGCACGTGTTAGAAATCTTGGCCGAGTTGGTTTCTTGCCTGGTAAAATTGAGTTGACCATCATCAAGAACCGTCTTTCAGCCTTCTATAGTTCTGTCGGGCATTGCCAGTTGCCCATGTTGCAACTTCGGCCACCAATTGGTGATACTTCGCTGATTGATCAAGACTCGTTGACAAGGCTGCTGATGGATAACAACCATAATAATCCTTCTGAAGGCAATAGAAAGTTTGTACTAAATGGCAGTGATGATTTTACACTGTCCAAGTTGGCGAATGGGAATCGCAGTGATGATGCTGAAGCTGTTCTTGGCATCAAATCAACTTTGTCTGGTAAAGGTCATGAATCAAGAGAACGGAAGAAGAGCAAGTATTTATCCTATCCTTATGTGGACGTGAATCAGGGGATGAAAACTGTGGCAGAAAATGGGACAGAAGGTCCGAAGCAAATCACTCCATCGAGTGACAAGAAAACACAGAAAAAAGCTTCGAGTAAACCTTTCAAGGGGACTCATAAAATCAGTAAATTGGACGATGTTAAGGCATCGCCAGCTCATTTGCTAGCTGAACTCCGTTCGACAGCTCTTGATAGTTTCTATCTCAAAAAAGGCGAACATTTTGATTCACTGAAGAGATTTTATTGTAGTTTCAGACAATTTACATTTTTAGACCATGAAAAACTCCAAAACTGTCCAGAAGCTGATATTTTTCCGAGGAAGGCTAAAAGGAAGAATCTAGGAGTAAAGTCGGCAGGTGTGAAGGCTACCGATAATTCTTTGGGCACTAGCATGAACAATAATACAAAAAACTTGTCTGTGATTGGCAGCCAAGAGATGGGATTTGATGTGCCAATAAAGGTAATAACTTCAAAGAAGACAAAGACAGCAGGAGCAACACCAGAACTTCCTCAGGTTAACAATATTTCTTTTGGGATGAGCACAAATGATATTACAAATAACTCGTCCGAGATTGGAGGCCAAGAGACGGGTTCTGATGTGCCGAGTAAGGAAAAAACTTCCAAGAAGAGAAAGAAGGTTGGATCTACACCAGAAATTCCTCAGGTTAACATGATTGATGAGTTACTGGATTTGAATGGAAACAACCCAATCTTCTCATTGGAAAAAGTGCCTTTTAGTGGAACTTCTACTCCTAAAGGTAAACTTGTCCCAAAGCGGAAGAAGGAAGGATTAGCTGCACCAAATGAAAATGCTGTTGACTTGATGGATGCAAACATAATCAGCTTTAAAACTTCCCCGGGGTTGGAAGATGTGCAAATAACCATCCAAAGTAATTCGCGGCTGAACAATGGGGCAGGTGTAAAAGATGGTGCTAAATTTACGAGTGCAGAATCTACAGCTCGGAAATCAGAAGTGAATATGAAAAATGCTGGCCTTGGCTCTTCAGTGCAAACTTCACTTCCTGTGGGTCCTTTACAGTCTGATTCGCAGGCTGAGGGCAAGAAAAGGAAAGGAAAGGTGAGTACTGGTCCAGTTGCTTCTCTTATACTGGATTTGAATGGAGATGCGTCAGAACCTGGCTCACTGGGGAAGTATACGTCTGAGTTAATTGCTGTATCACCTGATGGTGGTAAACCTGAGCCAAAGAAGAGGCGGAGAAATAAATCTGATGTATCAGGTTCAAATGTGAATACTAATAAAATGTCCAAAAAAGAAGAAGATTTAGGTGCCATTCTGTTCTTAAACTTTGCTCCAGGATTCCCTCCGCCTTCTGAAGAAACATTAATCCAAATATTCTCCAGATTTGGTTTGGTGAAGAAATCAGAAACCTGGGTTAGAAACGACTCAACGGCCCAGATTGCCTATGATAGAAAGTCGGATGGTGGATTTGCTTGTCGAAGCTTGGAGAAAAGCAATCCCTTGGGAGCATCACTTGCCAGTTACAACATCATCTTTCCAGGCATTTCACAAACTGTTGAAGAACAAAACAGCATGCAAAACCCGCGTCCCTCTGCTCCCGCAAAAGCATGCAAGATTTTGGCCAAGCGTCCCGAGGCACCTAATCTTATAGCCATGAGGAGAAATGTCGAGATGATGCAGTCGGTTCTTGAAAAGGAAGGCGATACTCTTTCACCAGAGACGAGAACCAAATTGGAGAACGAGATAAGAGGGTTTCTGAAAAAAATAAGTATCATGGTCGGCTGCTCTTCGTCTTAGTTCAAAAGTGCAAGTTATGGATCGTTTTTGCTTCTGGTATTCAATGAGGCTGATAACTTTTATCTCATAGTTGATGGGGGTAGCTTTAACTCTCATTCTTTTCAAGTGATCTTTGCTTTGTTAAACTGATACAAATGTTTTGATGCTTAAACCCTTTGAATTAGACTTTGAACTGAATGTTTTGCCTTTTTTAAGGCTTTTGTTTATTCTCTTTCCTTTTATGGCATAATTATATTACAACTAAAGGGCATGAAAAATACTTCGATTGCATATTTGGTACACAATATCATGTCTTCTTTGATCTTCAAGATTGCTCCTTTTTTATCAAAACCTTCTAAAGATGCTTCAGTGCAGATGATCTTGTTCTTAATTCCCTCAACATTTGACACAGTTCCTCTTCCTTAATCGAAACCTTCGATACTGATAGCTCTACTGGAACCGTTTCTGTTATGGAAACTGGAAACAGAAACTGAACCCACTTCTACACCATAGCATGGAACAAATGCTCTTCTTCAATTATAATCATAGCTATCAGACCTAATCCAAATATGGATTATGCTAGATGTACATAATCATTTACACAGTGGATTACACCCCCTTCACATGGAGGGGGGCCCACACACAATAAAATATTCGTGGGCCCTCCTCCATGTGAGGGGGAGTAACCCCGTGTGTAAACCACCGGGTGTACATCTAGCATAATCCAAATATTGACTCGACCAAGGTATTAGACCTGATCCGAACATGGGCTCGTCGATGGAGGTATTGGATCACTAGGTCCAATCCAGTAATTGTAACCATGGTTTCATTGGGTTAGCTTTTGTCATTGTTGGATCAATGTTTGGAGGGTCCATCATTAGGTCCATTTTTATCCTTGAGATAATTACCAAAAACCAACTGTTTAGTTTCAACTTTATGAAAATCGGGTTTTAACTTTATTTAATCAAAAATCAAGTTTTATCTTTTTTTTAATTAATAATGATATTATAAAATTAAAATAACATATACCCACTTACCCCCACCAAATTTATTTTAAATATAAAACCTAAATCTATCCAAACTCTAATATATCCAATTCATT